GAAAAAAAAAAAAAAAAAAAAAAAAAAAAAGTCAGGTCTGAGCAGAGCATCAGCAGAACAGTTTGAAAACAAAAGAGGAAATATTATCTGGTCCGTGGACAAAATCAGGCTACGTTCACACAAGGAATGCAGTAGCTGTGCAGGTAAAGGACACCACGAGGAAAGAGAAGCACTCCTAAAATAATATTAGGAATCCTTAGTTTTCAAACCAAAGGATGAGAGGGGGATTTTTGAATTTCTATAATAGTGAAACAAGCAGGTGGGAGAACAGGCTTATTCACTCATCTGAGATAATTACACAAAGGTAGGGGAAGGCTTCTTAAAATCTTGTAAGAAACAAATTCAGGAAAAGGGAAAACTACTGTCTAATTTTACACTGCAGGTAGCAAACTAATGGAACACATTACCCCCAGGAGGCTGTATAGGCCACAGATCTAGACAGAAAGGATACCTTGATTAATCCATGGCTGACAAGTTTCTACCACACTGTGGAAGAACAGGCTGCAGGGGTTGGGGGGGGGGGAGTGTATTATCCAGCCTTCTGAGGTTGAAGAGAGAAAGATCACACCCACTCGCACCATTTCACAGATTTGAGAACTGAGTATCAGGGTGGTAAAGTGCAAAGTCACAAAGGTCATAGGAAGAAAATCCATCTATGTCAGAGCTCTTTCTGCTACTCCAGTGTTGAAGAGAGAAGAAAGGGGAGAGAGGAAAGACAAGGAAGAGGAAGAAGGAGACGAACAGCAACCACAGCAACAACCCACAGAAGATAAAAGAAGCAAGGCTTAGGGAGAATAAAAAGCTCCATTTAGAAGATGACATACCTCATGTCATCTAATAAGAGGTGAAGGAGAAAATGGAAACTCATTTTCCATTTGAAAGCCTACCACAATTTGGCCATAACTTACCTTTCCAGCTCACTTTCCCCAGAATAGGTAATCAACTTCAGAATCAACAGATTCATCATGTCCTAGGGCTCCGTGCCCTTCCCAGGCCCCCTTTCCTCTTCCTGTCATCCCTATTTCAGTTAATGTAACCACCTTCTGCTTATCCTCATGCCTCACACCCTGTTCTCAGGAAAACCTCCAGAGTAACCCATCCACCCGCTGATTTCAGATCTTGCTTCCCCCTATTGTTTCTCCACACTGTAGCCAGGTGCATCTTTCTATAGTACAAACCTGATCATAGGACCCTTCCAGGTTTAACGCTCCCGGACACTATGGTTCATATATCCCACCATTCATCTCATAACAACAGTCCTGCTCAGTGACATTCCTCAGACTGGAAATCAAAGACCCCATCCTTAGTGAAATATTTGAAAGCCTACCATAACTGGTGGCCACAACTTACCTCTCCAGCTTAGTCTTCCTAGTATATCACATTGTACTATTTACTGGTCCCAAACTCTGCCATGAGCTTTTTGGCCTCCACAATAGCATTCAAATAGGTCACAGCATCAGAGCACCATCCCCAGGTCTCTACCTGCTGTAATCCTATCTTTGAAGGTTCAGCTGAAAGTTTACTTCCTCTATGACTCTTCTGAGTAAATCTTCAATAACAATTGTTGATCAATTCCAACTTAATTTGTTTCACAAATGGGTAAACGGAGCCTGGAGGTTAGGGTCAACTCATTCACGGTCACACGTTCCCAAGAACTGGTCAGCCAGTTCCAGAGAGGAAAACTCTAGAGTCCTTGTCCCTCTCTACCCTCCTTCCTCTTTGTGTTTGCCTCCAGCCCTGTCATGTCTGACCCCCTGCCCATCTCTCCTACTGACTTCTCCCCTTTTCCTCCATAGAGATCAATGGGACCCAGATTTGCCCCAACAATCTAGTTGCCTTCCACGACTTCTCCTCGGATCTGGAGAATGTGCCACACCTCCGCTACCTGCGGCTGGATGGAAACTACCTGAAGCCGCCCATCCCACTGGACCTCATGATGTGCTTCCGCCTGCTGCAATCTGTGGTCATCTAGGCCTTACTCTGCCCCTGGAGCTCCTCTGGCCACACTTGAATGCAGTGGCCCAGGTGCCTGTGCCCACCATTTATTTTCTCTGTCTCCTTTTCTTGCTCTCAGCTTTGCCTTTCTTATCCCACCCTCCTGATGCAAGGACAAGCCACGTACTCTGCTGCCCCTGCAGCTTCTAGAGCAAGACTTCCAAAGGCTTGATTTGGTCCACCCAGCTCAAAGACACCCACTGCACATCCAAACTTCTGGCCCCAGAAGCACAGAGGTGTGTCTAAAGACTTCATATTCTCTTCTCTCTCCTCCCCTCATCACTCCTGGGTAAGTCTGGGCTATGAACTGACATCTGGATCTTGTCCTGGCCAAAGCAAGCAGAAGATGGTCAGGGTCAGCCTAGAGGTGAGGTTTGGGACGTCCTGCTGGAAACTCCTCCATGGCGGGCAGCTCTGGCCCAAAGAGGCTGAGAAACCCGTGTCTCCCTGGCCGAGGATCCCATCTTCCAAAACTGCTGCTCCACCACCCCATTCACTGGCACCAGACAGTGCACCAGCTCTGTGCCAGCCCGTGTTCTCCAGAAAGGAAGTGCAAGGGAACGGCTGAGGGAGGGCAGAGGGTCAGAGATTCACACAAGGGCCTGCATCTGGCTGTCTCTGCATAGGGATGAGATGGGGCCCTCCTTCTCAGCATGCAGCCTCCTGGCTGGTCCTCTCTGTTCCAAGAGTAAGAGCAGGGAGGAACATTCCAGGAGAAGAATGGCTCAACAAACTAGGAATCAGCTGGTGGGAGAGGGGTGGGAGTCAGAGACCCAGGCTGGGCCCCGTGTGGGTGCAGATGGATCCTGCTGCCCTCTTGGCCACTCTGGATAAGAGGCCTGATGCCCTGGGGAACACAGCATCCACAGTGGAGTGTACAGAGCCACCAACCCCGCCCTGCCATCTGTTCTCTATCAGTGAGGATGACCCAATTCTTTCCACTCCCGGGAAGCAGTTCCTGAGAAACTGCTCAAGAAGGGGTGGAGCACCTGGAAATCTCCCAGAAGCCTCTTCCACTTGTGCAGATTGGCCTCCCCTTCTAAGACAGACACAGCAGTGACACCTGGTGGCTGGTGCTGGCCACATCTGACTCCCGTGTTCCTGCTCGTCTCTCTGGTGTGATTTTCCAAGATCAAGCAGTTGGCCTCAGGTTCCAACTTGGAGAGCCATGGGCGATGTGCATGGTCTCTCTCTCCTCTGAGGTCTAAAGGGCACAAAGGTACAGAGGCCCCAAGGTGGGGGATCTGATTCCCATCATGAGTGAACACAAGTGGGAACCTTCAGGAACACAGTTGAGGATACAGTTTGTTCCGATCTGCTCTCTTACCTTATGGGTCCCCTCTGCTCTCAGCTTTCATGTGGTACACCAAGGAGGTGGATAAGATACCCCTCCAAGGACCCTCTGGCGTTCATGTTCCTGTATGCAGCTCCATCCTTTAGACCGTGTTCTAATGCAGGATGAGTCCTAAATATTATCCCTTTCCCTTGCAATAATTTATTCCCTGTATGGACTGTCCTTCCCCCAGAGTTCCCACCCCACCCTGTCTGGCCCAGGTGAGCAGTGTGTCAGGCCTCTAAGGGAAGCCTGGGTTCCACAGGGCTGACTCAACTTCATCTTCCCCTTAACTCCCTCTAGGGGATGCTGCCCCTCTACAGCCTCTGAGTATATGTTGGTGGGGGTGGGGGCATATGTCCTAGAAATGAGTAGGATACAGCGCCCACTCCCAAGTTAGGTTGAAAAAAGTTCCAGAGATGTTTAAGAAACTGGATTAAGCTAGGTCCCTAACTTCAAGAAATTCCCATTATACTCTTATTTTTCCCTTTTGCTAATTTACAGAATATGGACCCATTTCATTACAGCCTCCTTCCCCCTTGCTCGCATACAACTGCTTCATTCTTCCAGGCTGCAGCTGGTTTCTCCAAGGCTCCTGCTTAGAGTCAAGATATTATTGTGTCTGTAAGCAACCTGTTGCTATGGCCTGGATAAGCCCCTTCTGCACTTTATTCCCACCTTGCGCCCTCAGCCCCTCTGATGAGACCCTCAGGGGAGCACAGCTCCTGGGGCTCCCCGGGGAGGAGGGGTCATTCCCCAGCTCCTGCCAACCTCAAGTGTTTTGATTCAGCAGCAACAAAATCACCATCACCCTATTGCCGCATCTAGAGTATTTCTGCTTCCTCCTTTGCTCCCTGTATCTCTAAACCAGAGGAAATTAAATTGGCTTTACAGCACCACCCTCCCACATACAATGTGCTCTTTTCCCTCGGGCTCAAGGAAGACCTCTCTTCCATGTACAAGTTAATTCTCTCAGTGCTGCTGACATATGCACATACAGGTGTGTAGGAAGGTGTGTATGTATGTGTACTCTGTACATATATCTGTTCTTTCTTGAAGACCGTATTAACTTTGTGCAACAACTTTGACATTCCAGCACGCTTCACAGCAGAGAAAATAAAGTTATATGAAAAATATCCTGCTTGAACTTGACAATGTAAACAGATGAGAATAGTACCTTAAAGTCACTTTGCCACCCCTCTCCCCCTGCCTCCCACCTTCCTTGCTCTGAGAAGACTGGTGGAGAAAGGATCCTATCCTTAAGAAGCTCTAGGAAAATGATTCCAAAAGTTTTTTTGGTGAATTTCCCCCAAACTCACAATTGTTACAAAAATAATCCCTAAAGTCAGACAAGTAATCTGACAGCTACATTTGAAGCCCAAATCTCCAAGTTCTTTTTAATCCACACATACCAAATTGTTGAGGTCTCCCAAATGCTCAGTACTGAAAGACACAAAACAGACACCATTCCTGACCAGGAAAAGCTAACAGACTAGCTGAGGACAGGTAGTGTAAGATACACAAAACAATGGCAGAGGTATATCAAGGGCAGTGAGCAAAGGGCCAGCCACATCATCTGGAGTGGTCTACATGCTATGCAGATGTTCACAGAAGGGCAAAAACAGGGTACCCTGGAATCTCTCTTCAGATGGCAGGTTTGTTCCAGAGCCAACCCTGTGATCCTCCCGGACTACACCATCTTCTTTTGAATGAAAACTGCCAGATGCTGTCCCACCCCTCCCACCCTGCCCCCTAATTTCCTGCTTCAGTTCAATTCAGCAAGTTTTCAGCATATATCAACCATGTGCAAGGTTCCCAGCTAAGAATTCAAGGATAAGTAATATATACCCCCACGCCACTGAGGAATTCATAAAGGGAAAAATCCATGAATTAGTAATTGCATGTCTTAAGTGTTTGCAGTAATGTTGGGTACAGAAAGCATAGTGGAGAGGGCCTCTACTTCTGCCTGGGAGAAACCAGAAAGGCTCCTATCATTTAAGCTGGATCTTAAGGTTTGAATCAGATTTTGCCAGGTGGGAGAAGGAAGAAAAAGCACATAAACAGGAAAGAAGGGAAGCAGCATGAGAAGAAGATTGGAAGACATGGCGTCTACCCTGTATGAGGGTGGGGTGGGGTGTGTGTGTGTGCCTGAGAGAGGAAGAGAAATGAGTTCCAGTCATGGAGTTACGTAGCTACAAGCCCTCAGCAGGGAATATACCCTTGCTGTCTAAAAAGCAGGAGGGTTCCTGAAACTTCCGCCCCTGCCTCTCTCTCTGCCCACGAACAGGGAAGCAACAGAGTCAGCTGGCCAGACTTCTGTCCCCAGGGCCTGCCACCTCCATTCCATCATCATGCCCTCCTGCTTTTCCTAATGAGATTCGGATTAGACCAGCTCCTCCGGCACCTCCCGCCACATTTTCCAGGCTCTCTGGGAGCTGAGCTGCCTGGAACAACAGCATGATCGTTAGACCGTTCCCACGTAGGTCACACACACACACACACACAAACACACACACACACACACACACACACACACACACACACACTCATCCCATGGACCCTCCCTGAAATCCATGGTAACCAGAATGTGTGCCGGTATGTTTGTGAAACCGAGAGCAGAAGCTGGGAGAGGGTCTAAGACGTGCAGCCTAAATCAGAAGGTGCTCCATTGGGGGCCGGGGGCGGGGGCCGGCGGGGGGAGCCGGCGCATGCGTGGCGTGACCGCAAATCTGGCCAAGCTGGCCGAGTGCGTGGGAGAATACCGATTGCAGGGGGCACAGCGATAGAGCCCAGAGAGCAGGAGGGCTGGCGGGTGTGCGTCACCGAGAAAGCAGGGAAGGAGAATGGGAGCAGACTGCAGGGGGTAATGAATGAACAGTCACATCTGCATTCTTCGCAGGGAATAAATGGTGTGGGGTGGGGAGGGGTGACGCCCAGGCTGACTTGGCGGCGGGGCGGGGGCGCGGGTTTCTGGCTGCAGAGCCTAGGCTGTAGAAAGTAGAGGACAGCCCGCCACATATGCATTCTGCTTCCTGGGCACCTTCCTGGCTCCAGGGGCTCTCTCCCTCCATCAGCAGAGCCCTGCGTGTCTCTCCACAGGCGGGGGCTGTCTGGGGCACAGGAACAAGTGTTGCTCTGGTGACAAGGTTCTTGAGCTGGGGAAGCCCCCTCCACACCACCTGGTGCCCAGGAGCACTGCAGGCTGAGCACTGCCCCTGGGGCCAGGCTGTTAGCTCTGACCCTTCACCTGTTGTGCCAGGGCAGAGATGAGTTCTGCCAAGGCCATCTCTTCTGAGGGCACGGAGATATGTGGCCTCAGGACCTCAGGGGTGAGGCAAAGAAGGGGAGGGTCATATGAACAAAGGAGAACTCTCTGGCCTGAGAATCAGGAAATCTAGGACCTGGCCCTGGCTCTGTGTGACCTTGGGCAAGTCACCTCACCTTGCTGGGCCTCGGTTTCCCCACAAGGAAAGGTTTGGATTAAATGATCCTAAGGAGAACCATGCAGCTGGGATTCGGTATCTGGTTAGTGGGAGGAAGTATGGAGGAGCCTCACCTATGAACCTGGGCAAACATGCACGCAGGCTGGCAGACTCCTGGGGACGATGTCTTAGCCCCTTATCCATGCCTTCCACAAGGACTTGCCCTGCAGCAAGCTAAGGCACCAGGGAGAGGAGAGTCTCTCCTGACACATGCATCTTCGGTAGGGGACCATGGAGGGGGGGATTCTCCTCAGCCCACTGAGGACCCCACACAATGCCTCCTGCTTATGATCAGGAAGGTTTTTTCTGGGGCCCAATCTTATAGACTGGGAGAATTTCCTGTATCTTCCTCCCCATCATCGTCAGAGAGCTTGAAGTTGGCTATCAAATCCTGCTCCATCCCCCAT